CCACCCATTGCTTCTTGTCCTGCCCTCAGGTGCTTTGAAAAACAGTTTGTGTTAACCCCTGAGATATCGAAAGACTATCATGTTACCCCTAGCCCTTCTTTTGATCAGACTAATGTTCTGTGCAATACTTCTCAAATGTATCAGTTGGACATCTCCCAGAAAAAGAGAATATAAAGCCAGTAAAACTTTTCAACACTGGATACCCTCAAACAATGACAAATAATGGTCTACTTGTATTGAAGGTGCTTGAGATCTCATTAGAGAATACCATGTTGTCTTTGAGATCTTGTAAGGTCTTTGATGAAAATGTCAAAACTGTGGTAGACATCATGCAAAAATATTGGTGTTCTCACAAAAGGTCTTATAAGAATTTAAGGTTATTTCACACAAGACATTTTGTGATTTTACCTTAAGACCTGGATCTTATGATGTTCCAGACATTTTTCAATTTAAAAATTAATTTAAATGTGGGAAATGTGTGTTGTTTTGTAGAGGAGAGACTTTGTGGTGATTGTAGGACCGACGTTACCAATTTTGAATGTCTAGAACACATGAGCATACATATACAATTGAGTCATCATATTTGTCAGCATTATAAGAGTTGTTAGCACTGAACTAGCAATATTATTTCTTTCTGTCAGTTTTTTTTATTTAAGAGCTATGCAGAAATGACTTTCAGTGAATTCAGTGAAAGTTTGTTGCACCTGACAGAATAAGAGCTGATGTAAGTGTTCTGAATGCAAATGGATTTTTAAACATTGGGGTGAGTACATTGGCAATAAAATGAGAAACAGTGGATGAATCTCCAGGAGAGAGTTTAAGTCATACAAAACAAATCAGAGCCATTCTTTTCTTAGTTTTATTTAAAGATCCTCCAAGATAAACCTCCTGTTCAAGAAGCTACAAAAAAGTTAGTTGCTGATGAATGCTCTTATTGCAGGAATATGTCTGGAAATGTTACATCATCTCTAGTCAAGTTTTCATGGCAGGGTAAATTGGAAAAAAACTCAGATTAAGACAATATAATGCAAGTGAACAGTAAAATGCAAAGATTAAAATAAATTCCAAGGAGCACATTATAATGCCTAGGATTGATTAATTGATTGATTTTGATACAAAAAAAAGAGCCTAGTAGTGAAAAGATGAATTTTCCTCAGTAAGGTAATCAAGAATTAGGCAGCCATAATCAAGAATGCTCTTTCAAAGTACTCAGTTGGGTCCTGTGCCAGGAAGAGAGATGCTAAGAAGAACCTCAGAAGAATGTCTATTTACTTAGGTGGGAAGGAAACAGCATTTTGTATGTCTTGGTTGGCATATAGTTCAGTGGTGGGTTCCGGCTGGTATGGCCAGCCATACCAGTAGTAGTTGGGAGCAGCAGCCATTATATCAGTATGGTGGCTCATTTGGCCCATGTTCCATACCTGCTTTTGAAGTAACCGGGCCAACTGTGCATGCATGCACAGT